ATATGGACACACGTTCAGCTGTACATGACAAGAGTCACACTGACAGTAAGGCAATCACCTACAGATAGAGACATATAGACACACGTTCAGCTGTACATGACAAGCGTCACACTGACAGTAAGGCAATCACCTACAGATGGAGACATATGGACACACGTTCAGGTGTACATGACAAGCGTCACACTGACAGTAAGGCAATCACCTACAGATGGAGACATATGGACACACGTTCAGGTGTACATGACAAGCGTCACACTGACAGTAAGGCAATCACCTACAGATGGAGACATATGGACACACGTTCAGCTGTACATGACAAGAGTCACACTGACAGTAAGGCAATCACCTACAGATGGAGACATATGGACACACGTTCAGCTGTACATGACAAGAGTCACACTGACAGTAAGGCAATCACCTACCATCATGCAATTTATGCACATAATGTAACACGTTGATATTTGATATGTGGAAAGTATGCATGCATACAAGGATTGATTAACGCAAAGCAGGCATTCAAAAACACCTATATAAGCCGTAGATTTACAACTTATTCAATTGTGAGCACGTGCTATGGTTTTACGATGCGTTTCGCATTATTCCAGCTTGTTCACAACGTGGAACACCAGCCACAGGCTCTACACGGTATATGACTTGCAATAGAACTAATTTTTGTAGATAATTTCTAATAGTTTTAAAGGGGGTCTATCTTTTATTGCCTGTTTCCCCTTCCAGTGGGTATCTAGAAGATGTAAACAGTGCAATGTATACGACGGAAACATCGCTGTGAATGTAGATTAATCGCTACCAAGATTGATACATAATAACTTATATTATTATAGGACAGGTAGGGTAACCTCCCTTTTGGCCCACAGGATCCGCATAATGGAAAAAATAGAGCAACATTTTTAGAAATTTGTATGACAGTTATCAGATATGTTCACACGAATGAGAACTGGACTTTGTTCATTTCAAGATATGCAGGGTTAGAACTCATAACAACACTAAATGTATACGTAAGGATAACTTGTGCCAAAGAGCCTGATTTTAGAGATAATGGTTTTCAGGAAGCATTGTTAAATATTTAAACTCAAGCAAGTCTTTGGCCGACGCTGATATTCCAAGGAGATGTAGAAACATAATGTACCAACATAAGGTGGAAAAATCAAACATTGCCCTTATCCTATCTCCTCCTCACACCTCATAGGATGTACGGCACGCTTGTCAGCACCGTTATGGCCTTCCGTGCAAGTTATACTAAGACCTCAGGTTCAAGGTTAACAAGCCGGGGTAGCTTTGTCTGAAGCACCTTTGGTTTTGACATTTATACCGAAAATCCTCAGTCCAGAATCAGATATTTAGAGATTCCAATATATTGATAAAATACTGTTTAACCCGCCTTGGAGGGTAATAAATTTCTCAGCGGGGGTATAAATCTCTTATACCCCACCACGTGCAATACAGGTTTCACGTGGATTTCTGATAGGCAGAGTAAACCCTTACACCCCGCTTCAAAGCAAAGAGCCGCACTCTTTGTTTTCCGAGACAATGAAAGTCACGTGACATAGCACATGTTAACCTCAGCTCAGTCAAACAGCTGTTTTCTATCAATTTTGAATTTGTTTTAATTCTTTTATAATGTCATTAAAACATGTCGGTAAGGTGAATCATTGTAGAAGGATCGCTCGGGGTACATGGGGTTTTATGTATCCCTCGTTAGGTTTTATTCCGGCTCGTGGTATAAAACCTAACGCGGGACGCATAAAACCCCATGTACTTCTCGTGATGCTGTTACAACTTATAGTGTTTGTTGCCTAACGTCACATCGGTACTCCTGCCATACGGCTGGGGCACGTAAACAATCGAAACTGGACCAGCCATGCTATAATTTGCTATGCTAATGCTAATGCTAATGCAAATGCAAATGCAAATGCAAATGCTAATGCTAATGCTAATGCTAATGCTATCCTATCCTATACAACAGAATGTAATCCAATCTCCAGTTTTCGCCCTATCTATGATGAAACATAATTCCTTTGTTCGTGGCTTTCTTGAACGATGTCTGCCACGTTTAGTCTCGTCTCGTCCCACATTAAGCTGACACGCCGTGATATAACTGAAATATTGCTACACCTGGCGTTATGCTCACCCTTGATGGGTTAAAGCTACTGTGCCTATACCTGATTGTGATGTATTAAAACAAAGTATAACAGGTGAGCGGTAATAACCTCTCGTGTAGCGTGACATCCCTGAGAGTGTTCTCTGCCAGCTGATGCTACCAGCCTGAACATGTGACAGTCTACCATTTCGCCATGATTTTTTCATAGATAAGGGGGGTAACTCCTTTCCAAATACAATATTTTGTGTTATGAAGCGTTATTAAGACTCTGAGATATATGAACCTACGAGACCAACCCGACTTGACAATATCACATAAACCCTTGGCGGCAAAGACGTGCGTATTAGCATTACAAGGAGGACTGTGACACGAGGAACACCTACATAATTAATACATTACAGTTGAATCAAATACTTGAATTAATTCCAGTGTATCCTCCAGCATCATCGAGTGCGTTTACCCCGATCATGTTTCTAGGTTTGTCAGCACCATACCCGTGCTCGTGGGTTTCACCGAAGTGGTAAATGTCTGAGACCTGCTTTACTTTGGGCTTTCTTCCCACATTAGGCTTGACAGGCCGCGATATAACTGGAATACTGTTTATAGTGGCGTTAAACCCAACTCACTCTCTCACTCTCTTATTCTAAAAGTAAGCTTTATAATAGAACAACCAAGTACATGTAGAACATCAGACTGTATTTGAACTAGTCACCTGTACAATCGGTTTCAACCTGCCTAGTCCTGCACCATTACCGTGGAATATATTTATTTTATGAAAAAATAATAATCTAGAAATGCATACAAAAGCAAGTCTAGCCAGCTCAAGCTAGCTCTATTCCACATCAGCATAGGGAATTTTTTTTATTTTTAGAGTCAAGAAGGATATTGTGTAATATAAGATTTCAGAGACTAAATGTCTATCAGTCTATCTGCCGGCTTGCACCATTACAAAATGCCATCTCGGACAGCGCGACGTGGACTGATTGTGGTAACTCCCAAGTGTGCGTGCGTGCGTACGTGCCTGCGTGCGTACCTGCGTGCGTCTTAGGCACACGCAACACGAGTCATATGTAGACTTTAAATCATACCCTAAAATCGCCTTGAAAACACTGAACTAGCGGAATGGAACTAAAAGATGGATATCCATCTGGTTGTTTAGTGTAGGGGAGATAACTCCTTCATTACTCGGCTCACACGGATTGGAAATCCGCCCTAGACTTGTTGTCTTGGTAAATATCTTATTAATAATAAAACCTTTATATTATTTCTCCCAATCTGATCTGAAGTGTCACAACTTCTGCTCATTGCATTGCTATTCCACGACATGAGTTTAAATGTGAACAAATCATTACATATTGTTTAAAAGGTAATCATTTCAAAGTAACCTTAAATGTGTTTTAACATTAAGCAATCCATTACCCCGCGATATAAGGTTACCCCTGACGTCTTCCTTCCCAACACGATGCAATAACTCTGAGTAGAAAGGCAGCTAGTTCATCATGGCTCCTTGCGCATGACCGGCGCTGTCCCACCGATTGTTATTTATGATGCGAGTTGTCTATATGCCACATGCAACAAGTTTATGGTTACTAAACTTTAATGAAAGTACATATCAAAAACTCAAACTTTTGTTTCCCCGTTATGTTGTCCTCTAGACTTCGCATGTTGATCCACGAGATTAGTAAATAATGGGGCACGTCAATTCTACGCTGGACGGCAAAATATAGAAGTTGCGACTTTGACACATGACCTTCACCTACACTTCGCCTCCTTCCGTAAATATTTAGCAGGCTCATTTATTTCTTCTTTTTTTCACACGGTTTCAACATATACATAGTATGTAATGTTAAATAATATTCAAGGCTGAAGAAGATTCGGGCTAAAAATAGACGAGGCGTGAAACTTCTCGTGTGGACTGTGATACAGTAGTGCTCAAACATATCCCATCCCCAGATATGTGTGTGTTAATCACAGTATGATGTACTTGTCTTTGTTTCTTGTTAAACTGGGGGGCACGGCAGGCCCAGTCGTCTAAGGCGCCGCGATTCCTGAATTGAACAATCATTAACATTAATGTTTCAGAACACAGGCTTCATACCAAAATACGTTAAAAGATGGTACTTGTTGTTACCCTGTCTGGCGCTCGGCATAAAGGGGCTAAAACAAGGACTGGTGGGCTCGGAGTCAGTATACTGTGTCTGAGTGGGGTATTCATGTTAAACTGCGGCATGGTATCTCAGTGAGCTAGCACTTTAAATCGGCCTCAGTCCGGACTAGTACAAGCAGCCACACACACACACACACACACACACACACACACACACACACACACGTGCATGCACGTCACTATATGAGTGCAATAATCTTGGACGCGACGTTAAACCCAATTTCACCTCACCTCAGAACACAGATATTAACGGATGAAAATGTTGAGGCTTATTAAGTTTTTTAATTCAGTTTGGGTTCATTATTTAACAACGTACATAGTTCAAACGGGATTTTTTTCTTTTCTTATATGCAGCAGGTTCTCTTCACTTGTACACGACATACGTAATTCAAAATTAACATATCGTTTTAGTTTCAACAAAATAAAAAGAAACGCTATCGTGTAACTGGATTTCTGGTCTATCACTTGATTGCCTTGTATGTATAAGAGGTTGCGCCGCGGGGCAAATTAAGTGAGTTGCGGGTGATACCGGTAGGACAGGCGGGCTTACCCTTTTCACGAACACCTGGTGTTATCACTGACTTTCAGTTATCCATACATATATTTTACCCCGCTATTTTGCCTTTTTCGCACTATGGAATCTGTTTTGTCGGAAAATTGTGACTGGTTATTCTCTCGCGGTGACGGGTTTATATTTATTCTTGATTTTTGCAGTTCTGGGAGGAGATTGCTGAGGAGCATGGCCTCGACCCGACGGGCGCCTACCAAGGGACGGACGACCGTCAGCTGGACCAAATCAATGTATACTTTAACGAGGTGCGAGGTGGGTACCTCATGGTATCATGAGTGAGTGCGTGAATAGCGAGAAACGTCACAGTAAGCAATATTACAGTAATATCAATGTAGCCTGTAAAATAACTAAAATAAGGTACTGTTAGTGTGTGAGTGAGTGAGTTTGGTTTTACGCCGCTTTTAGCAATCTTCTTGTTTGTCTTTGGTCATTCAGAGTTGGCAAAACATTGTTCGGAAGTGACCTGTAATGGTATGTCCTCAGATCTATGTGTAGCAGTAGCCAGCATCAAGATCTGATTTTAATGAGATTGAATCTTCATGCGAAAAAGTAACACATGTCTTTTTAATGATTAAGTTAGTATTTCAGCACTATCACGGCGGGGGACACCAGAAATGGGCTTCACACATTCTACCCATGTCGGGAATCGAACCCGGGTCTTCAGCGTGACGAGCGAACGCTTTAACCACTAGGCTACCCGACCTCCCCGTTTAAGGTTGTGTCCACCTTAGGCTTCCTTAATGAATTGAGGGAAGTAGCTGCCAGACAACGATGGACTATGTATTGGTCCATTTTCATTTTCTCTTGAAGAATGGTTGCGGTGGGGTAGCCTAGTGTAACAGCGTTCGCCCGTCACACCGAAGACCCGGGTTCGCTTCCCCAAAGTTTGCATGATTGAATGGCAGCTTACCTCGTCGTGGCCAGATTTATGTGGTTAAAAATGATGTAGCAGTAAGCTGCTTCAACCGTACCTACAATAACATTTCAGAGGTAACATTGTGTCCTCCGATGCTGCCTATAAGTCAGTTCTACTTGGATTTGGACATAACAAGGTGCCGGGGTAAAATGGGTCTTCAGCAACTCATTCTTGCCGTAAAATGTGACAATGCTTGCCGTAAGAGGCGACTAACAGGATCGGGTGGTCAGGCTCGCTGACTTGGTTGATGCATGTCATGATCCCAATTGCGTGTGAGGAGCTTGTGTTCGATAGTGTTTCATAAACACATGCTCATGAACAAGTCGGAATCGTACAGTCGACTCTGCTTTATGCAGATATTTCTATTGGACGTGGAAAGGGCTTGGACGCTTTATTTACACATTGTGTCTTGCATAGAGACAACATATAGTGACATCAAACCACAAGAACACATTGTCGCGTTCAGCCTCACTTCCGTGACACGTCCATATGGCATTATTACATAAACCACAACATCATGTTATATGCTAAACGTGATACGGGAGACAAGGGTTCCCCGACAGGCAACTGAAGCAGAAAAACATCTTTGTTGACGCCTCATCACCGCCTTGTACGCGCTCCAAACACCTGGAGGCACGTTTCAACCACGTTGTTTACCGGCAGTGTCAGCAACGTATCAGAAGTTAAATGCGTAATGAAGATGTCACGATTTGAGCTTTACGTCCCATAGCACCAAGGACACCAAACAAACCGGAAGTACCATCCGTGGGTTAAACGAATAAATCATCACTCAAGCCTGAAAGTCAATAAATATACATTTAACCTTTTCGCGATATATCAATGTAGACGTATATTCGATATTTTCCGGCTACCATGGTGTCCGACAATTAGTGGTAACTCAATCTTCATGATATTGGCACCCGTGACCTTTTCTGATCTTTGATGTCTGTCGGCCACAGGGCAGATATACACCTTTGACTAATTAGATCCCGATAGTCTACAGAAATATAACAATCACTCTTCACCTTTAACATATGCTCTCGGGGATGATATATTTTCTTTGGTTCAAAAACAGTTGACACTGGATATGTTTCGGATGGTTTATATGTACACTGTGACAGCGTGACTTGTGTGTCATAAAACAACGCATAAACTATCAGGTGCAAGATACAGTTTATTAACCAACCATAATAGTAATAATTGTAATAGATTGTCCGATTGATTAATGTGTTTCGGCATATGATATAATAAGTTGTAGCAGGTCCACCAGGGGTACATGAAGTTTTATGCGTCTTGCGTCAGATTTTATACCACGAGCCGGACGCATAAACGCGGGACGCATAATAACACAACTTGTTACGTTTTTAAAACTGTATGAGTCTGATAACACAACTTGTTACGTTTTTAAAACTGTATCAGTCTGATAACACAACTTGTTACGTTTTTAAAACTGTATCAGTCTGATAACATGACTTGTTACGTTTTTAAAACTGTATGAGTCTGATAACACAACTTGTTACGTTTTTAAAACTGTATCAGTCTGATAACATGACTTGTTACGTTTTTAAACAGTATACTTCTAATAGAATGAATTGTAACGTTTTAAACTGTATGCTTCTAATAACTTGACTTGTTACGGTCGGGTAGCCAAGTGGGTAAAGCGTTCGCTCGTCACGCCGAAGACCCGGGTTGGATTCCCGACATGAGTACAATGTGTGAAGCCCATTTCTGGTATCCCCCACCGTGGTATTGCTGGAATATTGCTAAAAGGGGTGTTAAACCTCACTCACTCACTCACGTTTTTTAAACTGTAACTATACTGCCATGACTTGTTACGTAGCTTTAAAACTGTAGGCTTCTACTAACATGTCTTGGTACGTTATAGTGCGAATCGTTCACAGGACTCTGATCTTAGCAGATATTTCTTTTCATTATGGACATTTTGACGACACAATATATGACGATCAAATGCACTGCATAGAAAAATAATTAAATAAATTATAAACCAACAGGCCACCGTGATATGGTTCGAAAAAACGTTGAAAACGGCAATTTGATTTACTCACGATGTCCTTAGTTTGCCTAAGGCTCCAACTTGTTGATACGCTATGCTGATTTTTTTATGTAGATGATATATGTCCGTCATTTCACTGTTTACTCAATGCTTTATACGTTCTGCTGTGTGTAGTGTGTGTGTGTGTGTGTGTGTGTAGTGTGTGTGTAGTGTGTGTGTAGTGTGTGTGTGGTGTGTGTGTGTAGTGTGTGTGTAGTGTGTGTGTGTGTAGTGTGTGTGAGAGAGACAGAGAGGGGGAGACAGAGAGAATGTGTTTGTGTGTGTGTGAGACAGAGAGTGTGTAGTGTGTGTGTGTGTGTATGTGTGTGTGAGAGAGACAGAGAGTGTGTATGTGTGTGTGTGAGAGAGAAAGAGTGTGTGTGAGTGAGAGAAAGAGTGTGTGTGTGTATGAGAGAGAGAGAGAGACAGAGTGCGTATGTGTGTGTGAGGGAGAGAGACACAGAGAGTGTGTATGTGTGTGTGTGAGAGAAAGAGTGTGTGTGTATGTGTGTGTGAGAGACAGAGAGACAGAGAGTGCGTATGTGTGTGTGAGGGAGAGAGACACAGAGAGCGTGTATGTGTGTGTGAGAGAGAAAGAGTGTGTGTGAGAGAGAGAGACAACGAGAGAGACAGAGAGTGTGTATATGTGTGTGAGGGAGAGAAAGAGTGTGTGTGAATTCCTAGTGAAAGATCTTTGCTGAATCGTGAGATCTGCTGTAAAATAGGCCATTGTTCACACATGCACATGTGTGCGTGCGTGCGTGTGTGCGTGCGTGCGTGCGTGGTAACCACGCTTTTCGGTTTGATTATTGTACTGCCACCACAACTACTTCAGGTAGAACGGGTGGCTCAGTCGTTTAAGGCACAGCTATTCGCTGTGCGGAGTTGCGTCCCTTGGGCACGCAAGACACCTGTGATCGTGGGTTCGAAATCTCGGTTCGCCATCTTAAGTGGTAAACGCCTGAAACCTGCATCACTTCAGGCTTTCCTCCCACGGTCAGCTGACACGTCGTGAAATAAGTGGAATAATGTTCAAAGCTGGTTTTAAACCCAACTCACTCACTAAGACGATGGTGGCATAATTAACACATCTCTAAATAATTCGCATGAGTCAGACGAAGACTAGGTGAACATCGAACATAAAAGAACATTTTCGCTTTGATGTCGCTGCACGTGTTATACCGCGTGCCATCCATCAACCACTGACACGATGTGATCGTGGTGTCTTTGATTCTTCATAACAAATTAGATACTATACTCATTATTGATAAAGAATAATATTTTAAGCATAGGAATGCTTCATGTGTTGATATTATGCTGCCATCTAGGCAGATATGAGGCTGATAGATTGATCAAGCACCTGCAAAATGATTGATGACTTTAACAGTGAAACGTCTAGAAGCACGCGGGCACATAACGGTCATGACTCCAGTTAGTGGTGAGTTGTTCACATGATCAATTATTTCCACGTGTGCACAGATTCAACGGAAAAAAAAGCAGAAACAACTGCTCATTCTATACATGTAGTAAACAAACACACTGCAAATTTGAACTGTTTTCTTGCTAAAAGTCACTGTCCGGTTGTTTTCAAGTCTCCAAAGCCTCTGATCTGTTTAATAATATATATGTTCCTCATGACAATGCTAACACAAGACAAGTTTGCATTTTATATATTCCTTGTATGTATTTCTATACGTTTCTAAGATTCTAAGTGTAATGGTTTACGTTCTTATACAACGGTAGTGGAATATCGGTTGGCTAGTGGATTAATGCATCTGTTCACTTCCACAAATTGACCAACTGAATAAGAAATTCATCATCTGTTTCATATTCTGGTATATGCATACAGATCCAGAGTGACAAACAACTTTCCACACGCCTATATGACAAGAAAGAAGACTAGTATACGTCAAACGGAATCTGTTACGTCAGATAACCGAGAGCGGTTATTCTGACGTGTTATATTCAGTTCTCCCTTTATGTTGGGGCAATATTACTGCCTTTGGTGTCTGTAGTTCATATTTGAAGTACAACCGAGTCTGCTTTATCTATGAATATGTCAAAGAGCGATATACGACTCCTGCACAAAACGGGGGCACGGGTGGCCCAGTCGTCTAAGGCGCCGCGATTCGCTGTGCAGAGTTGCGTCCCTTGGGCACACCAGAAACCTATGATTGTGGGTTCGAATCCCGGTTCGCCCCGATTGTTTCTAGGTTTGTCAGCACCATACCCGTGCTCGTGGGTTTCACCGAAGTGGTAAACGTCTGAGACCTGCATCACTTCAGGCTTTCCTCCCACATTAAGCTAACACGCCGTGATATAACTGCCGTGGAATACTGTTAAAAGCGGCGTTAAACCCAACTCACTCACTCACTCACTCACTCACTCACTCACTCCTACTCAAAACCTGTGTGACCAGGGTTACTGCATTCAAAGCCTCAGCCACACTTTCAAAACGTTTAGTGACAGACATGTTCCAAATTTAATGCATCAGTTACCGAAATGATATCTGATGCTATTCCCTAGTTTGACGTGTACCGTGTTTGTTCAGATTAACACTTGCGTTTTTTCGCGAATTTACATACTCCCGTCCCATCATACACCTATATTCAGATCCTTGTCAAAAACATGTATTTGTCAAAAGAGGACCGACCATTTCATGCTATGACGTGAGCCTGGTATATTTGCTGGAGAAGGAATATTTTTCTGACAATGCTTCAAGATATGCCATTATTTTCACATTATTTTAATCTTTTATCTCCATCTCAGAATATAAATTTTCGGTTTCGGTCCCCTACAACATGACACTATTCAAAGAGACTGAATATACACTCTTAAAAAAAGGCAACCACACAGGTAGTATGTGGTTCAATGAACCTAACTTCACAAAAAATCCGGTATATAAATTGGATATATGTAATTGGAAAATGTTGGTGGCCTGATATTCGACAAACGGTGCGTCAAAACGCAGTCATTGTCGATTTGCAATGTCTTAAACGGCATTGTTTTCACGCTTGTTCCAAAATGTCATGGAGGAAAACATTAAAGAAAAATGCACGTGCAAGTTATGGCATTCGTAACTCGTGGTAGAGGCTATAAAAAGGCTGGCATAAGCCTATAATTTGTCATTCAATTGTCAACATTTTTCAATTTCGAAAATGCCGAGACTCAGCGCTGCCGATCGGAACATCGCCATAGGACGTATCCAAAGAGAGAATCGCAGTTTTCTTTGGGACCGATACACACAGTCCAATTCCACTGCAGACCGTCCGAGAACCGGCCGACCAAGAGTTACCACCCCTGCATCGACAGCGACGCTTGCGTTGGTGCCATACCTTACAGCCTTAGAATTTGACGAGTGTGGTTTAGCGATAAATCACGATTTCTTCTTCACCGGCGAAAAGGAAGACAACGTGTTTATCGTCGTCGAAATGAGCGTTTTGTCCCACATTTCGTGCGTGAATTCGACAATTTCGGTGGCGGTAGTGTCATGATGTGTGTGTATATCCTACACCACGAGATCTGACTTGGTTGTGGATCAGGGAAATTTGAAAGCAAATCGCTACATGAATCAAATTCTTCAAGCTCACCTTCTTCCAATCATTGACCGCCAGAGGGAGCTGTTTCAACAGGACAACGCTCCACCGCACACATCTCGTGTCACGGTAAACTACCTTCATAATGCCAACATCAACGGCTTACCCATCGAACACCTCTGGAATGAACTCGATCGACGTGTTCGTCAACGTCAGAACACGCCGCAGACATTCCCGCAACTGGCCAACGCGTTACAAACAGAATGGCGCAGAATTCCGCAGGACAGAATTCGTACACTTAAACAGTCAGTGCCGAGGAGATGCAGAGCCGTGATTGCTGCCCGGGGCGGCACCTTGTGGCCTTAAGTGACATGACAATGAATTTCAATGCCTTTCTACAACGACAACATGTGACTATCGAGCTCCAAAAATTCATATTTGTATCTATTATATTAAATTTAAATATATCGACTATATTAGGTACAATACATTTACTAAAAATCTACCTGTGCGTTTCTTTTTATTTGAAGAGTGCATATTAATTTTAATACATAATCTCTATACACAGTTCCAGCTGCCAAGTATGTTCCAAGAGCCATACTACTAGACCTGGAACCCGGATTGATTGATTCGATATTGTCAGGCCCCTTTGGTTCCCTCTTTCGACCGGACAACTTCCTGTGTGGCCAATACGGTACGGGGAACAATTGGGCTAAAGGCTACTACACGGAGGGAGCCGAATTGGTCGACATGGCCATGGATGTTGTCAGGCTAGAGTGTGAGAGTTGCGACAGTCTGCAGGGATTCCAGCTAACTCATTCCTTAGGAGGGGGGACAGGATCGGGGATGGGAATGCTACTCATGCGCAAGATAAGGGAGGAATATTCCAACAGGATCATCAGCACGTACTCTGTGATGCCATCTAATAAGGTAAATCATTGTATTCTCTAATAATACTTGATAAGTATTAAATTTGTAAGCTTATTCGTTTCAGGTTCTTCTTGTGATATTTTGGACTGTTTCTGATTATGACTCGTTGTTAGTCATCGTTATACCCGTGTGTTTAACACAAGTGATAAACTCCAACGATCATTTTGGGCTAAGAGAATGGTTGTTACGGTGTCTAGTCATTGCCATAAGGGGGCCACGTGTGGCTCAGTCGTCTAAGGCACCGCGAGAGTTGCGTCCCTTGGACACGCCAGAAACCTATGATTGTGGGTTCGAATTCCGGTTCGCCCCGATTATGTTTCTAGGTTTGTCAACACTATACCCGTGCTCTTCACCGAAGTGGTAAACGTCTAAGACCTGCATCACTTCAGGCTTTCCTCTCACATTAAGCTGGCACGCCACGATATAACTGGAATACTGTTAAAAGCGTCGTTAAACCCAACTCACTCACTCACTCTCATAAACTGCTGGGCAAGAGAAAGTATAGACCCTTGTTTGCTGTTGCCTAAAAATGAAAAGAGCAAGAAAGGGTTAGTCGATGGTGATGTATTTGATATGGGAATCATGTTTGGGTTTTTGCCCTTACGTTTACAATGTTTCGGGGACTGTTTCCACCCAAATAACTTTTTTGTTTTGGTCAAATCCAACTTTAAAGTCTACACTTTCTTATGTCAGGCAATTTATATATGTGTTTTCCTTAAAGCATCGAATGGAAAGCGAACATTACGGGACTAACAGGGTCCATATTTTGTAGAAGTGCCACTGTATACAGATGAATAATGTCACTGCGAGTTAATATCTGTTGATGCTATTCTCCCATTAGGTATCTAACACTATAGTGGAGCCCTACAATGCAACATTGTCAGTCAACGAACTTGTTGAGAACACTGATGCGACCTTCTGCATTGACAACGAAGCTCTGTATGATATCTGCTCCAGGAACCTCAAACTGACCAAACCTACCTACGGTGACCTCAACCATCTTGTCTCCGCAACTATGTCTGGCGTCACAACTAGCCTCCGTTTTCCCGGTCAACTGAACGCTGATCTCCGCAAATTAGCAGTCAACTTGGTCCCCTTTCCTCGTCTTCACTTCTTCATCCCCGGATTTGCCCCCCTTACGACCAGAGGAGGGGAGCAGTACCAAGCCTTGACTGTTCCAGAACTCACACAGCAGATGTTCGACTCCAGAAACATGATGGCTGCCTGTGATCCGAGTCACGGTCGCTACCTCGCAGTTGCAGCGATATTCCGGGGTAAGATGTCCATGAAGGAGGTTGACGAGCAGATGCTCAACGTCCAGAACAAGTACAGCTCCCACTTTGTTGAATGGATCCCAAACAATGTGAAAACGGCCGTTTGTGACATTCCTCCAAATGGGTTGAAGATGTCGTCAACCTTTGTTGGCAACAGTACTGCCATACAAGAAGTCTTCAAGCGTATCTCTGAGCAGTTTTCGGCTTTGTTCAGACGCAAGGCTTTCCTCCACTGGTACTTTGGCGAGGGGATGCATGAAATGGAATTCACTGAAGCCGAGTCTAACATGAACGACTTGGTCTCTGAGTATCAACAGTGCCAGGATGCTACAACCGAGAATGGCTACGAATACGGGGAGGGGGGATTTGAGGAGGAGGGTGAGGAGTGATGTCCCCATTCTCTTTACGTTAAAGAGGCAACTGCACTCAATTCTCCGTCGGGTATCTTTCTTGCTTTCAGGGTCCACTGTACAATTTGTGATGGTTAATGTTCATATACATATTTATGTTGTGTCTTGTCTGGAATGAGTCATTCTGAAATGTACATTTTGGGTAGATTTAAGTGTGTCTTATTGCGGTTGAAGTTATGGTTGTCTAAGATGTGGTTGTGTTAAATGGAACAGTCAGGGGTCTCACCATCTTCCCTGTATAGAGTTTATAGAGTTTAGAATCTTCAATTAGGCAACACTGTTTCGATGCATTTTTTATATCGAGTGGCTTTTATTCTTTCTTCTAGATGTAACACTCGTGTGTTTTCTAGTTTTGTAATTGTACGTTTTTCTAAAGTGAGCGAATAAGTTATTTCGAAAATTCCGGCAGTAAATAACGTAAATTTAAAAAAACCTCATACCACTCTACAGCTCTCCCAGAGATTATTCAATGAATATGTCAACGGACAACCAGGACACTTCAGCTAATCTCAATCACTGACAATACATAACAACACAGTCTCCAAAGGAGACCCTTCTGTCATACTGATTAATAAGAAGTACTCGAACCGTTTCCTCCGCTGAAGAGTAAGCGATATGAACAGATGTCCATGACCGGATGAACCTTGCATCCACATCAGGAAATCCTGCACAGTGTTCACTGACAAAACTGACACTTCCTGGGTGATTCTGCAAGCGTTTTACTCTGCACCCAAGTGTTGATATGTTTTCAAGTGTATATCGAGACCTACTCTTAAAATACAATGTCGTGTTGCTATGGTGACTTCATGTGTCACGCCTTTCCGGGCATGACAGATGAACTAGTTTCTGACCAATGACAAACAAGAAGCCAAAAGTGCCTGAAGGTATGTACGGACAACGGACGATGTGATGTATAGATGACAATGTGTGCGAGAGCTAGTATCAAGACTCACACTATTAAATATACTTTCTTTTGATGACGCTATTAATTATACCTTCCTGATGCACGTTATATAGCTAATTACTTGACAGCGATTGTTTTACACAATATACAGCTTCATGTAAAAACCAACATAGAAAATGTATTTTATAAAATGTTCACATACAGACACTTGCATATTTGCCCTAACAAAGCCACATATTGCCTCTATCACCGTTAATGTCTTAATGATAATGCATCTGCTTGCAGAAAACACATGCAATGTGCATCTTATGTTTTAAGATATAATGGTTTCGTGTATTTTATATTTTTTATATGCAGCCTTCCTTTTACAAGTTGCATGGTGACGGTGATTTCATTTTCAATAAACAATGTATCTGAACGTGTTATTTATTTTAAGTGTTTTCTTTGTGTCGGTATGGATACAATAGGACGTTTGATACTCAGAGAAATCTATTTTGTTATATTCGTCTGAAATCTTGGGATATTCTAAGATAGGAATTATGTTACTATTCCACTGTTAAACGTTAGGCAGCTATGTTGCTGGGTGAATGTGGCAGATGAGGCTGATTGATTATTACATATGTCAAAAAACTACTTTTTACTTATCGTACTGGTCATGTTTGGATTTCACAGGAAGTTGAAGACAAAACACTGTTTATCATAGAGTTGTCCAACGAGTTAAGGAATCAGCAGGATTGGAGTATCTGAATCAAACAAATTAGTAATGTATAAAGAATATATATGTTAGCTGTTAGCTGTCGAACATTATTTGTCCACTCAATTTCGAGAATATAGACGTTTATATCATTTTGATAAGATTAGGAGAATTGCCAATCATGGTAATTGTAGGTAGGCTATAAGTTGTTGAAAAAGGTAAAAGACTATGTCTGTTATGTAATATGAGTGAGTGAGTTGGGTTTAACGCCGCTTTTAACAGTATTTCAGTTATATCACGGCGTGTCAGCTTAATGTGGGAGGAAAGCCCGAAGTGATGCAGGTCTCAGACGTTTACCACTTCGGTGAAACCCACGAGCACGGGTATGGTGCTGACAAACCTAGAAACATAATCGGGGCGAACCGGGATTCGAACCTACAATCATAGGTTTCTGGCGTGCCCATGGGACGCAACTCTGCACAGCGGCGCCTTAGACGACTGGGCCACCCGTGCCCCCTCATGTGATATGAAGGTAGCAGAGATGAATTTCACTTTTTGCTAATACCCAGATAAATACAGACAGCTCCTTGTTATCATGCCACCAACACAATGTTATCATTAACTGTTGTAGCTATGTAAGGGTGACTTTAGCTACAATGAATGCATTGTTACTATAAAATATAACACTCTCTTGTACATTCCATCCGTCGCATTTTGTCGCATTCATATTATATTAAAATGACATATTTGTACGTGGGCCAATGGCCTTTCTACTGAAATAAACACTCACAGCAGACACCCGGTATCCGGACTATAGGGTTTCCAGTGGAATCCGGATTAACGAAACATGGATGTTTCGCGAATTAATTACAATTACTATGTCTAGTTCTAGAATGAGAATTGTCACCAGACAGTGAGATATAGTCACGTATTAGTAACGTTTAAACACATTTATCATCAGTGCGTGACAGTCAACACATCATCCCCCATACATGAGTAAGAAAGTGATTATGGTTTTATGCCGCTTTTAGCGATATTCCAACAATATCATGGCGGGGACACCAGAAATGAACTTCAAACATTGTACCCATGTGGAGATTCGAACCCGGGTTTTCGGCGTGACGGGCGAACGCTTTAACCACTAGACTACCACATCGCCCATACATGAAGAATATTTGAGAATTATTGCTAAAAAGACGAAATGAATTGTTAAATGGAGTAGCTATTTCTTATGACTATGAAAACGTTTTTTGTCTCTTTTATTTATTTGAAAATATAATTTTATATTATATGAAAAGGGTCGTTTCTGGACTGACGGTGACCATGCTATGGAGGTGATACAACTGACTCACACATGTGTATGGTGTAACGCCTCCAGTACCAGGTCGGGATGAGCTAGGATGTCTCACCATTAGTCATGTCAACGTTAACATCGCAGAGCATGATACAGGAAATTCACGATCTAAACGTTGTTTTATTTTGGTCGCTGGTAATTCATTTTCGATGGCATGTGTCCCCTAGCAACAAGTATATGTAGCACACGTCCCTCATTCATTGTAGTTTGCATTTAGATACATGTTTTGGGGTGTTCCGTGATGTCGACAAATACCTGACATACCACTGGCGTGATCTGTTGTTTCAACAGGTTGGTGTGTGTAGGTGTTTCGGGATGTGAGGTGGGGGTTCGGGTTGTTGTGGGTGTGGGGGGTAAGGGGGCCGCTTTAGACAACAATGTCACAGTTCCGAGCGCTGGTCTAAAAGTTCTAAGCCTAACAAACAAAACCAACAATTGTGAAAGTGTTTTTAATTCTATTTTTCAACAGAATCTCCCTGTTTTTCAATACACTTCCCATATCGATAGTGAAGCTTTTAAATTCAAATCAGGAAGAACTTTTCTGAAGCCAGCCTGTAAAACCCATTCATGGCAACTCAGAGGTCATCGTTGTCGTCAAATCGCTTTCCGTGAAGGTGTTCGTTCAGTTTAGGAAATTACTTTGGGCCAGGTGTGGCGAGTATGGAAGGTGAGGAAGCTCTTCGAACCCACATTGTCGCACAGCACCCTTTGCAAGACGAGAGGTGTGAGAAAAGGCATTGTCATGAAGTAGTAGAACTCCAGCAGTCAGCATTCCCCGCCGCTTTTCTTTGAAAGAATCTCTCAGGCGATGAAGCAAGCCGGGGTAGTAGGCATCGGTAATCGTCTTTAGGCTTTCGAAGTAATAAACTAAGATCACACCCTTTGCATCCCAGAATAAAGTGGCCATAACTTTCTTCACTGACCTTGAAGGCTTGAATTTCTTTGGTGCTGGAGAAGTGGAATGGTGCAATTCCATGGATCATAGTAGAAGACCCATGTTTCATCACCTGTTACTAATCTCCTTTTTGAATTTGACGAAATCCTCCTCAATTAGCTCTAAAACTTCTCAGGCGATGTCGGTTATTTTTACCTTAAGATCAGAATTTAGAAACTTTGGCAGATATCTTATTCATCTGTAATGTTTATGAAAAGTAGGTTCAGTGGATCCATGGCTTAGACCAGTGTCTTCCTCAAGCTCAGCAATAGTAATACGTCTGTCTGACTGTATAATTTTTTTCTATCTCCTTGATTGAATCTACATTGATGGAAGTTGAGGGACGCCCAGACCTAGGGTCACTATCCGGGCTTGTTCTCCCAGCCTTAAACATAGGTGCCCAACGTTTAACAGTGGAATAGTATAGGCGCTCATCCCCATACACTTGTGACATGCGGTCGTGAATTTCTAGGGGAGTACTTTTCTCTAAAGTCAAAAACTTGATGACTGCTCGGTACTCGTTCTTTTCCATTTCTGTGTCCACTTGGACCCTATCACGTTCAACTGGCTGTCACGAATATACGAACGGTCTCAACAGGACAAATACACTGGCAATGAACTACTCAAACAATGTACTACATTGACTAGTTCACTTTGTTATGGCCCAAAGTTGACATTTAGTCAGACTAAAAACTTTTTTACCAGCCCTCGTATATGACGAGTCTGGTCCAAGCAAACTTGTGGTTGATATGTCAAGCAACGAAGATACAATAAACTACGGTTATAACGAACTCAAAGTGACCACTGATTTTAGTTCGATATAACCGTAGTTCGTTATAAGCATATATACAGCATATAAACAGCAAATGGCCGGGACCAAAAATATGTTCGTGATATCCGTCATTACGTTATAAGCGTGTTTGTTATAAACGTAGTTATAAACGGAGCATACTTCTTAGCAAAATGACCATCTGACCCTCATGTAAATAAAAGTTTGGGGTATTGGGGGCTTATTGTGCCTCAGAATCCTCAGGATTATGATATAAATCTCCAAGTAGTGTTCTTGGATTACTTTATTTTTTTCTGTAGCGAGTTGTGCCTTTTTGAGGTAAACATAAAGGCCAGTGTTTGGAGATGCACTAAATGGACCTGACGCGAACATTTCGCTCTTTGGGATGATAGATTCACATCTCCTGCATTTCCGTCTTAATGCATCTTCTTAGAGAACATGGCTCTGTACGTACATGAAATGAACAAAAAAAACATTTGAAGCTCCCATTACATTTTCTAGAAAGCACGACCTTATTTAAAGAAATACACGCTTTGTCATTCTTATACAGAAATACAATATGTTTCTATACCGTTACTTTGAAGTACCATTTGACCCCGGGGCCAACAGATGAAGCTTGCTTGAGGTATTTTGTCTCCCGGATGAACGATGTTTGTCACTTCGCTGAAACACATCATTGGTGCAAAGGGAAAGAACTAAGATTATTGCACTTATAAAGCACGTGTGTGTGTGTGTGTGTGTGTGTGTGTGTGTGTGTGTGTGTGTGTGTGTGTGTGTGTGTGTGTGTGTGTGTGTGTGTGTGTGTGTGTGTGTGAATTCCTAGTGAAAGATCTTTGCTGAATCGTGAGACCTGCTGTAATCATAGTACATAGTACATCAAGATACATTATGGTGGTATCAGTACATATCCACAAAGAAAACAAACAAATTTGCCTTAATTATTACATTATAGCCAGAAAAAAGACATCTGAAAGGATACTGGCGGCCATCTTGGATTACCGATGGCTGTAGTTTGTTAGTCAACAATCTCTCAGACAACCAGCCAAGCACATATATATGTATCTTAATCGCCATTTAGGAGACATATATATCGATATATTCAATGTCACTTGATGTCTATACAAAACCTACACAATAAACAGTTATATTTGATTATATAAATTGCCTGCGATACATCGCGGATGGGAGGTGAGTAATGTTTTGCTTAGGAGTTTTCTTGGAGCACCCCTTTTCACACAAAATGTAAAACTTCACTTCATATGACTGAATGCTGACGTTTGACCCCGGGTGAAGGTTGTTCTCGCGCATGCACCAAAACGGCGTCCACAAATCACATGTTAAAAAGCCGTGGAAATAATTCCACTGTCAACACGTGATGCTCTAGTTACTTATTCGGGCAACCTTGTAAATGTAATTCTGTAACACGGAAACGCCTAACTGTGGGTGACAGTTCTTTCTAGATGGCTTCAACAGGGATCCCTGCCCTGCACCGGTAGGTTGAATCTATCATTCTACTTCTGTACACGACTCTGGGTGTCATCCACGCGCAAACAACACATGTTGCATACCACACCAACACGATATGCATATTGGGGACGCGTGGAAAACGATAAGGAGAGATAGTTGGTCTTAAGATAAGTCTCCAACCCGGAT